AAGTGCTCGAGAACCGGGCTGGGGCGGTGCTACCCGGCTGCCGTCTCCATACTGCCTGCGGCTGCTCGTGCGGTATTGCGGGTGGAGTCGAGAAGCAATGCCTAGGTATTACCACCCTGCAGCCTCGTTCCCATGCACTTTTTAACGGGAAGGTGGGCAGTAGTGCAGCTGCGGATCTACTCACCTCATACATGGCAAGGACCAGGATCAGAGGTGAGTTTACAGTTTGTCGTTGGAGATACTCCGTCCCGAACTCGTCCCGAACTTTCTACGAATCATGTTGCTACTGGCCATTGCAATCACTAAATTACTGCGGCGCAGGGGAGTTCCCCTTTTTAATTTTCCTCGAATTATAGACGATCTCAACAAGTGGGTGCAATGTGCGTCCGAAGGTCGCGACCACTCACGATGTTGCGAGAAGGAGGAAGTTCCAAAGGAGTGTCTCACTGGATGCCGGCATCCGTTTCAGGTTTGATGTTTTCCAAACTAGTATCCCGTCTCAACTTGTGTGCGTTCCCTCGTCTACCTGATTGAACCATAATTCCAGGTCGCAGATGTGTGCTTCCACTCCTTGTCGAAGTTGTCCACCTGCTTCTCAGCTCCTCATGCAGGCTTACCGGCTGCGGTTCGACGGCTGAAGGTGACCGAAGTCACTCCAAATTCCGCACTTCTTACCTGGGAGGACGCAGATTATGGAGTAACTGGATACAAAGTCGAGGTATGACTCTGCTGCTCAGTATTCGTATTCTCACAAAAACACTTATGCTCTTTCTATTCACTATCTGAACATTTCAGGTGTTCTCTAACAACGCCTTGGTCAGCTCGTCTGACGTCGCAACGGAAAGCTATCGACTTGAAAATCTAACCCCAGCCAGCGAATATCGTGCTCGGGTAACGTCAATGAACAGTCATGGCAGCGGTCCTCCGTCATTCAATGCCACATTCACCACCCTCCCTGCCAAAGGTACTATTTCCACCCACTACTGTACAGTTGTTTGGTTTTACTTGTTCGTTTTCAGTATCGGACGGTGATCGTCCGAAGGCCCCCGACGGTCTGAGCGTGGTCTGGAATTATGGAAATCGTGTTAACATTTCCTGGAATCCAGTCACTACCAGAATGGATGAGAGTGCTGTCGCTGGCGTTGTGGCCTACACCCTTTACTATGTGGAGGCAGAGAAAACTGGACAGTGGACGACGGTGAGCGGACATTCTATTTCACATTTGAGCTGTCTCCAAAGGTCAGATTTTCAATGCTGGTGAAAGCGAAAATTCCCTTTTATGGTGGCTAGTAACCTTCGGATGCCTTCCAGGGCTTGGGTCCTCTCACCCGTAAGCATAGTTCGGGAAGAATGTGACAGCCCAGTCATCCCAATAGCAAGTTCTCCTTCTGGCTATAACTCTTGGTGTTCGCAATGCAGCGCCTTCCGCTTACTGCATCCTGAGAGGAGACTCTGCGAAACAAAACAAAAATTATCCGCTTAAGGCGAAGCTTTTCTGAAGGTAGCTACTCCTAATGGCGGAGCTAGACCTAGATCGTTGATGAAAGTGCTACACACTGAAATAATATACGGAGAAATTTTTTATGGATTTTTGACTATTTTCAAATCAGTAATGTTCTTTCGTGGTAATCTTTTGATGCCCATCAATGTTGCAAAGCAACTGAATATTTGAGTACGACCTGTTTAAGCTTCAAACGAACAACACCTGGGTGGTAATGAACGATTTGAAACGTGATGCTCTCTATTCACTGTACGTTATGGCCACCGAAAATGGCAAGACCAGCCGAAGTTCGTCCGTCGTCACCGTGCTTGCACAACCAGGTGAGGACATTCCCCAGGTTATCGCTTCGTTTTCAACAAGGTACGAAAAGTCTGGCTCTTCACTGTGATGCGTACAGTAGTAGCGCAATGGTCTCGTGAGAGCAATAGTGTCGCTTGTTGGAAAATGGCCCTACCCTGAGGATGATATTCACGTTCGCTGCTTAACTTAATGGAAAAAAGAGGTTTTTCATTGTTGTCTGAGTCATTTTAGCTCGATAACTGCTGTTTAAGGCCGCAGTGCACGCTCCGAAAGTTACCTGTCTGAGCCGTTTGGGTCCTTTACTCTGGTCCTGAAATTTTGTTCAAGTGATCAAGAAAATCTGTGATCCCTTGATCAGTACTGTTCGAGCAGGGCTGAATTACTGTTAAGAACTGTTGCTCTCAACGAGGTGCAGTTTTGTTCGCCGCGAATGCTGGGACATGCCAGGAGGTTGGATTTGTAGCGGCGCCAGCCTGTTTTTCACCAACTGTTGTAGTTCGCTCGCTTCAACTATTGCTGGAGAACGTGCTGGCGCCGCGCTAAACCCACCCCAACCCCCTCTCCGCTCAACATGCCTTAGGAGACCATATTCATCATTGCGAAAGCACACAGATGATTGTTCGAAAAGGATCGTACTCTAAGGTATTGGGTGGGTCAGCGTCTCGAGCCTTTATTGCTTTTCTTACTTATCTCGGATCATTCTCCATTATAATGCCGCTGACAAAGAATCATGAAGAGAAGCCAAACAAAGTTTTGGCCCTAGCCTCCAGTTATGGGTAGCACTGCTGGGTGCTGTTAGTAGGACAGCCTTTCTTGCCTTCTTTTGGTGAACCGCTTCACGGAAACTGGAGCGGCAGTCTGGTGAGGATTTCAAAAACCGTTCGGAAATAACACAGCGTTCAGGGGGGGGGGGAGGGGAGAGATTTTTCTCCGGTTGGAGCACTCTTTAGCAATCAGAATTCTCGATCAATCAAATATTTCCAGATCTGCTTGGGTTACCTGAACCTGTTGTGAAAATCACGCCGGATCATCTCGACGGTGTGTATCTGCAAAACGACAAAATCACCATCAACTGCTCTGTGCCCGTCGATGTTGTTAAGGGTCATTTGAACATCGACCTCAATGCTGGAACACATTCTGTGAGTTGCTTTTATCACCCGGTATTCAACCCGAACGTCTATTTGAGTTACGAGGGCCATCTGCAGGCAAGCAACGATCACGGTGTGTCGTGGGTGGCGGAAGAAGTCGAAGCGGATTCGTCGATTGATACAGTCACTTGTGCCGTCACAGACACGGATGGTCGCCAGAATGTTGCCATGAGACACCTGCTTGTGAAATGTGTGTGCTATTTCCATTGATCATATGGTCTTCTCATCTTTGCATTTCGATTTCTGCCGTTTCAGTCGGCCCCGTTGCCAAGATGGACAAGGAGAAGGTGCGCGCATTTGATGATCAATCAGCCGATCTCAGCTGTACAGTCAAGGTTCGACATGAAGAAATTGCGACTATTTATTCCGAATATATACGGCTTGTTTTCTGGAAGCGCTGGTTTAGGGTTTCCCATCACCTGCGATTCGATTTGAAATTGATGGCAAAGCGGCAGAGGGAGAGACTAGGGTTAAGGTGGTCGCTATGAATACGTACAAAGCTACGCTGCATGTGAGTGATCCCCTTAAGCATTCTCGGCACGGTAACTTTCTTTAACATAATAGTATAGTAGAGATAAGATTTCATTCAGTTGCGAAATACCAAGGGTAAAGCGGGTGTCTACTCGTGTATCGCTGAAAAAGACGGCAGCCATTCGGTCGATACCGCTGAGGTGATTTACTTGATTGTTTCTTTTTTGTTTTCCGCTTACCTCTTTTCTGTTTTCTTTTTCTTTTGTTTCTTTCTGGTTTGCTAGTCAAGCCAATTTTAATATGCACATCTGCCTTGCTTCAGTTGATCATTTCTCGCGAGCTGCTTCCTGTGAATCCCAGACTCATCCTGTCATGCTGTGAGGACGAGCACATTGAAGGCGATTGTCTGCAGGCTTGTAGCATTGGAAAGGTAGCAATAACCAGCACTGTCAGTCTCCTTTATAAAGAGGCGAGGCTATACGGTTTCAGACCCCGCCCTCCGTTGGAAACTGCTTCTCAGTATGCTGCAAGTCTGCTGAAATGCGCAACTGACTTCGTCGATCACAGCGATTGTTGCACTCTTGCAGGAGTTTCAAGCAAATGCCTCCCGCTATGTTCTGGTAAGATACAGCGACTAGTCTTCGTTGTTTCCTGGAGAACTGAAAGTAGTTTGATGGAATTTGTAGTAGGTTTGCGTTTGCAGGAGATTCCTTCTCGACTGATGTTGACTGCACTCCTTACGCAGTTACAATCATGGAGTGTTTCGTAAGGGGACATGAAGGAAGTCCGCAGCCTGTACGAAATGTCGAGTATGAAGTTATCGGAAAAGGCTTGTTAAAGGTGAGGAAAGTTAAACGGTTCGTTAGGTCAGGTGCAATCCATATTTCAGCTTTAGAAGGGGGGGGGGGAGGCACGGTCGCAGTTGTGAGCGCGGCGGCCTTAGACACTTGCCGGTTCGCACTGAAACACAGAAAAGAGTCCGTGCATGATAGGAAGCAGACGACACAACGTCGTTAAAGCACTTCTCAGCGCAGTTCGGCGACGGGGGCATTTTGCACTTTCACTGCTTCACTACTTCCGGTTTACAAGTCTCACTCTGGTGAAACTTGTGAACTCTTGTGAAGCTGGAGCAAGCTCGTCTAGCCACCATGGTAAACGTGTCAACTCAAGAAAAGGCTATCTAGATGATCGACACATCGATGGGAAGCAAAATGCCCCCCCCCACCCCTTCCTCCTCTCCTATACTTCC